TTTTTTCACTTTATAGTTACCTAAACAAATTTACTTCCCTGTCAGTTTTATTTCTCCACCCCAAAAACACTTATAACATGTTTACGTGAGTTTATTTCATTTGGTTTATTTAACTTGGTTAGATTAATGATTATTTTTTAGGTTAGTTTTAAGTTCATTATTATGTTTACTATTTTTATTGTAGTTTTAGATTATACTTAAGCAAATTCAGTTTTGCTTAAAGTTTTTTAGTAAGTTTTTATTTTTGTTATCTCGCAATATTCGCATAATTGCATATTTTAATCGTCGTGCTTCCTTGTTGACGAAAATTACAGCATTCAAATAATTATTCCTCTTTTTTCTGCCTTTATGAACTTTATTTTTTGTTTATATTTCCCTTCCCTCTATACTCTTTATTTCACTCAGTTCCGTATTACAGGAAGATGCGGATTTTTGATGCTGATCTGGCACTCAAACTAGGATTAGTTGTCCAGTGTTTCGGATTCCAGTCTGAAGGAATGCCAAAACGAGTGCCTGCGTCAAATAAGTTGGGCACACCGGCTGAATAAATGACACTGTCAGCAGACCCGTTTCGGCTACTGCTCACGTCTCTGATGATGAATGCGCCAAGGATGTCGAAACGTCAGGCGAATAACCATATTGTCCCAGCGATCGAGCCTTCTTTTTCTTCTCACTGTCACTTCAGTTGGCCCTAGCAAGGCCTGCTAGGGGATGCCACAATAAAAACTGTCCTGACTTACCTCAAAATCACTGGTGATATTGGTCAGCGCCTTAAACTCGTAGCGCACCACGTCGCCGCTGACGACTTCAGTCGGCACTGCCACAGGAAGCATCTGCGTCTTCTTCGTTGTTATTGTTGTTGTCGCATTTTGTGCCAGGCCAGTGAGCACCTGTGACATCCAGAGGCGATCATCGAGCTCCACGAAAGCGTAAAAGTCGTGCGGAGGGCGGAAGCGCATGAGGAAGGAGAGGCGCATGTTCTGGACGTCGTCCGCAAAGTCTGGTATCACGCCGATCCCATAGACTAACCTCTGTTCATTCTGCAAAGACAAAGTACAAGTCTTGCTTTAAAAAATTATAAATCAATAGGACAGAGTGTTGAGTAGGGGTGTGTAGGGCTGGAGTCGCTGGTTTTCCAACATCACAGACCGAAATTCTGGTCGCCGTATGTGGATGACATCTTCGTCGTCATCGAAAGGGATCAGGTGCTTACGTTCAAGGACCGTCTCAACAGCGTCTTCCCGGACATCAAGTTGCCATGGCGTGTCCCCAAATGTATACTTTTCTAAAAAACCTGACGCTTATGCAAAAGTGGCCCCTAAGGGTCAGGCTAAGGGGTGAATAAAGACTCAAAGGCTAAACTTTGCCCGTATACGTGAGCACGGCGGGTGGAATCGTGAAAGGGAGGCTTGAAAGATTTGCTTAGTATAGAGTTGATAGTAAAAGTGAACTACTGAAACTCATGCTTGTGATAGAAGTTGGTTCGAACCAGCGGCTGATAGCGTAATTTAAAAGGAGCTGAACGTA